TAATTCAAAACTTGATTTTGAAACTCTTTTCTTATTTCTTATATTTAGGTTTATTAGCTTTATTTTTATAATTTATGTAACATAAATTTAAATTAAATTTTGCAAATTTAATTAAATCTTGATTACTTTTTCCAACAAAATTCTTCAAAAATATAAATTAACATTGAATAATTTTCAGTCCGAACTAATTAAAAGTACATACCAATATGTAATTGCAATTATTGGCCTGATTTTGTCATATAAGATTTTGTTAAAGTTTTCGTAAAATTTAACTAATTATATCAATTCTATTATTTACACCTCAAAATCTTCAAGACATGCATACAAATCAAGTAAAATATGTTTCCAGTTTCACTTTAGGGTCATTTTTGGAATTTTATTGACTAGTTACTTTATGTCATGATCGCGTTTTTTGTTATCTAAATTTCAAAACAACTATTCGTCAAAATTTAAAAAAAAGAACCAAATAGGTCAACAATTCCATGCTTGATATAATGACAAGTAATATTGTCACCTTTGAAATAAATATTATTCATTGCGGGTGAAAATTGTGTACAAAAAATTTAAATAGTTATTCTCAATAAGGCTTGTTATTTTGAACATTTTTAGTTTCCAGAATACAGATTAATCTTGTTTGGGCGTAACTGAATAAATTTAAATCACAAAAGATGTTAGACTGATTTACAACAACTTTCTGATGCAAGTAATTTATTCCGGACAAACTATTGAGTCAGTGTTTTGAAGTAAAAAAAAAAACTTTACTTTTTTGTTATGGAAACGCTTCTAAGTTCTCAAATGTTATTAATAATTCATTGAATTACACATTAAACTTAATTTTCTTTTCACACTTAAAAAAAATATATCTAAACGATTTTGCAATTACCTGCCGATCGCAATTTTGTTTTTAAATAGATATTCATAAAAGCTTCATTCTTTTTCCATGAGCACTGCAAAATTAAAAAAAAACTGAAGACGGATATTTGTGAATTAGGACTGGAAAAGGGGTTGGGGTAAAAGGGTGTTTCTCATTTAAAGAAACTTAAATATTGCTATCTAGACAAATTAGGTATAGTAATTTTGCGCATTGTAGTTTTACGATAAATTTTGTAATCTTAATCTAATGAGACTAAACGCAAGCTATTAAAAAGTAATAGTTTTAAATATATTTAGATTTTATGAACTAAAAGTGTAACTGTGTACATATACCTATTTACACATTTTCCATTGTTATCAAGATAAGAGAGATACTAATTACTTTTTATTTTTTGTTTTACAATGATTGAAATTAAATCAAGCATGAGCCAATATGTCTAATAGTTGCGAAGTTATAAGGGATTTTATGTATTATAAAAGTTGTGATTATAGGTTGTAATGCTTGTCAAAAAAAAAGGAACATTTTGAATAACGTTTCATTTAATGATCGGATATTCACGTACTAGAACTCAAATTTAACAGTTCATGGTGCAGATCTTAAGTATATTCGAATTAATTAGTCTAGATGGTATTTTAAGTTAACAAATCAGTCACAAAAACGTACTTCCTGTAAATAAACATAAGTTTATATTCTCGGGATTCGGATTTCTGATCCTCAAAACAAGGGAGATAGTATACACAATTAGGGGATCGTAGCTACCCTCAATTATTCAAGATAACATGAAAATAACAAGTTCGAACAAATTTCAAACTAAATTTTTCATGAAAATTTAAGATCACTTTTAATAAAATGATATAAAAAATTGCATTAGTATAAAAATATTAAACTTTTCAAAAGCAATTTTTGTAGCATATGTAATTCTTGTAGCACTGTAGTGTCCTGTAGTGGTTTTTATTCGAGGTGAGAAAGGAACTTCTTGCATTTTTTCTTAAATTCGTGTCATGATTTAAGCACCAAAACTAACTTAAAAATTCTTCTATTGATTTACTGATTATCAGTGCTTAGTACAATTCATTGTCACTGCCTAATACAAGAGAAATTAATTACTTGCTTTTATTCTTAATTTTTAAATTCGTATCTTGATTCAAATACCCAAACCAACATAAAAAATTTTCTATTGATTTACTGTTTCTGTCAGCGCTTAGACAAATTTATATGAGTTTGGTGAAGTGAGAAGAAATATTTTAGATTTTCCGGTTGATTTTTTTTTCAAATTAAAAAATTTAATACACTCGTAAAAGTGTTTGAATGCAAAAATACAGTTTAAAGATCAAAACTCTTATGAGACTACTATAATCAAACATTTGTATTTGCATATATTAAAAAATAGAAAACCATTCGACATATCTACTTTTAAACTTATTTAATTTTACGTAACATTTTAAAAGTTAATAATAACATAACTTCTAAGAAACATTGTTTATTTCTTCAATGTCAATATTGATTTAATTTTTCTAAGCAAACGCTTCCTTCATTCTAAAGAAATGCTTCGAACGAACCAACAAATAAAAAGAAATGAACAACGAGAGAAATGAAGGATATCTTCTCTTCTCAGATTCGACCTTATAATTACAATGAATTGTAAAGCGGCACCTTCAATCAGTCAGAATAAACAGTGAAAAGAAAAGAAACACTTTTTTTCTGATTGGTTTACGGAAGGCTTGTATTACCTAAAGGCAAATGCTATTATTATTTGTATCTTTATTTTATTTATTCTTTTATCTAACACTTACCTACGAAGCTCTTTTTTTTTAAAAAAAATGAATGCAAACTTATAGTCATACGGAAAAGAATCATGATTTAACGCTAATGGGAAATATTTATTATTATTTAATTTAGAAAAGAACATATATTGTAATCTTGTGTATAATTCACAATATTTTATTTTATTTTATTTTATAACAGTCGTTGAACAGCAGTCCCAATTTTGTGCTTACGACTACTAATGTTAAACTTCATAGCCTTGCTATTTTGAACCTAATCCAGAAGACAAGGGAACTCCTGGATTAATTATTGGGAGAAAGTTTGCCTTCGTGTAGGACTTTTTGATAGATCTAACACGAATTTGTATTGCATGGAGAGGAAAACCACGAAAACCTCCCTTCGTTAGTCTGATATATGGCAAGGAGACTCTACCCATGATCCGTCTACCACTGAGGATATTTCTACGTCAGCACTGTGGCCGGTGCAAGCCTGGTGCGCAATACGCATCGACCAGCCATTACTGGAATTCGAGCCCGGTTCACCTAAATGGAAGGTGTAGGCTCTATTCCCTGAGTTACCACGGCTCAAATTCACAATATTGAATAATGTATTACAAAAATAAATAGTTTGATACTGTTATATTTTTTATGAAAAAAAGTTTTGAAACATCCTTCATGATCTTACAGCACATGAAATACTTTAATAACAACCTTAATGGATGATTATTTGTATTTTTCTTAAATTTTAAAACTCCATAAATTTAAAATTTGTTTAATATTTTCATTTTGCATAAAAACAAAGTAGAGCTAAAATTTATTAAATTTTTATGTGAATCGCTAAACAATCAGATACAGAGTTTCATTAGGATAGGAAAGCATATTACATCATGATGCAAAATTACAATTTGTGAGTAAGCACTTAATTAAAAGAATTCTTGCTAAATATTCTAAAAAATATTCTTGCAAACTAGAAGCAAGTTTTTTAAATTTCCCGATATTTAAACTGGTTTATAAGTTTTATATTCTTAAGTTTATTAACGTTTGACATGCGGTGAAAAAAATAGCTTGCAAATTATCCGTTATCCATTTGATGCAGATAGGACACCGGTGTCCTTTATATTTTTTCTGACACTTTATATAAACGCAGAAATGTATTTTGGTGTTTTTGAATTATAAAAAACAGTCTAATAGTTCCTAAAAAAATCTGCTCGATAATCAGAATTAAATTTTTACTAAAATATAAAATCCAAATAAAGTAGTTTTAAATTTTTTATTTTCATTTATATTTTAAAATTTATCAATAATAAATGATTTTGTAAATTAAAGAAATATCAATCATTAAAAAAGTTTCTCCTAGATCTAAATAATTGCAACTTAATGCAAATTTGAAAAAAAATTGTGAGTCACGTTTGGAAGATTTCACCTTCAACTCAGAAAAAGACATTATTTAGTTTGATCTAAATAAATGCAAAATAATGAAAAAAAGAAAAATATGTTAAATAAAAATTCTGCAACAAAAAGTAATATAATAGGTAAAAGAATAAATAAAACGAGTAAAAAATTATATAGTAGGTAAAATGTGTAAATATTCCTTTTTTAATTATTAGAATATTTTTGTAAAAAATATAGCTTCCGAATCACGTAGAGTTCTAAACATGTTTTTTCTACATCCAATTAAAACTCTAATGAAATTATCCAATCATATAACCAAATATTACAAACTTAACAATTAAAACTCTTAACAGAGAAAATAATTCCACTTAGGACGATTATTCGGTACATTTATAGTTCGATTGTTAGCTTATGAGCGCAAATAAAGACGAAGGCATTAGCATTTCTTCGAATTGGTTTATAATAAATTGATCAAACAACTGATTGCCGAAAACAATTGACAATTGATTCGGCCATCCACCGAAAACCCCCCTCGAAAGTGATGCTCTCAAATTTTTCACTCTCAGACCAGCAATAAACGAATTATTTTCTTCCTTTCTTTCTTTTTTGACTTTTTAAAAATTGTAGTTCTACCTTTTTATCATAATTTTTAAGTTAAAATTATAACTATACTTGTAAAATAGTATCTAAGAATTTTAAAGACCTTTTTAATTAATCATTGAAATTACAGTTAAAGGAACTCCATTTAGTAATTAATCAGAAGCATCGTGTAAAATTTTTCTCACGCGTTTGGTTCTTTTTTTCATGCCAGCTTCTGGTTTTAAACTGACCTCATAAGGAAATCGTACGTGAGGAATCTTTTCCGAACGACCTTCGGAAGGAAACGGTATCGAAAGGGGCTACACCCTCTCGGGCATCTCCCTTGTCATGTGATTGATTCAAGATTCCCATATGGACACACCTGCTTTTTCTACTGACCACACAAATGTATATAAAGAGGGAGAACATCTGATAACATCAACAGTTGGTTTCTCTCTGTACATCCAAACAATTAATCATGAAGGTAAAAATAAATTTTTTATCAATAATTTTCTTTTAAATTCTGTTTCATTCTAACTTATTTTCAAATATTAGTTAAAACTAGAATTTTTCAACCTTTTCAGCTTCTTCAGCAACTTTAAAAAACTTTAAAAAAAATTATTTTTCATTGCCTACTGTAGAAGTTTTTTTCGCGTGGTACACTTATACCCCCTCTATAATTTTTTTCGTAATTAGAATGTTTCGATTATATGGTAAAAAAATTTAACTTTCTATAAATGAGGATATAATGAAGGTAAAAATTAATTTCTTTTTTCGATAATTTTCCTTCAAATTGTTTATTTTCAAAAATTAACTAAAAGCAGAATTTTTAAGCTTTTTTTTAAAGTTAATAACATCATTAGCGACGTAAAAAAACTCTTTAAAAATTTTTTTTCTTTGCCTACTGTGGAAATCATTTTTGCACAGTACTCTTATAGCCTTTCTATAATTTTTTTCGTAATTAGAATGTTTCGATTATACGGTTGAAAAATTTAACTTTCCATAAATGAGGATATAATGAAGGTAAAAATTAATTTCATTTTTCAATAATTTTCCTTCAAATTGTTCATTTTCAAAAATTAACTAAAACCAGAATTTTTAAGCTTTTTTTTAAATTTAATAATATCATTAGCAACATAAAAAAAACTCTTTAAAAATTTTTTTTCTTTGCCTACTGTGAAAGTCACTTTCGCATAGTACTCTTATAGCCTTTCTATAATTTTTTTCGTAGTTAGAATGCTTCGATAATACGGCTGAAAATTTTATCTTTCTATAAATAAGGATATAATGAAGGTAAAAATGAATTTCTTTTTTCAATAATTTTCCTTCAAATTGTTTATTTTCAGAAATTAACTGAAACCAGAATTTTTAAGCTTTTTTTAAAATTTAATAATATTATTAGCATAGTAAAAAAAAAACCTTTAAAAATTATTTTTCTTTGCCTACTGTGGAAGTCATTTTCGCATAGTACTCTTATAGCCTTTCTATAATTTTTCTCATAGTTAGAATGTTTCGAAAATACGGCTGAAAAATTTAACTTTCTATAAATAAGGATATAATGAAGGTAAAAATTAATTTCTTTTTTCAATAAATTTCCTTCAAATTGTTTATCTTCAAAAATTAACTAAAACCAGAATTTTTAATTTTTTTTAAAATTTAATAATATTATTAGCAACGTGAAAAAAACTCTTTAAAAATTATTTTTCTTTGCTTACTGTGGAAGTCATTTTCGCATAGTACTCTTATAGCCTTTCTATAATTTTTCTCGTAGTTAGAATGTTTCGATAATACGACTGAAAAATTCAACTTTCTATAAATAAAGCAATAATAAGGTTAAAAAAAATTTTTGAATAATTTTTCTTCAAATTGTTTTTTATTAGAACTTATTTTCAAAAATTAGTTAAAACCTGAATTTTTAAGCTTTTTCAGGAAATTCAATAATAGCATCAGCAACTTTAAAAAACTCTTACTGTAGAAGATATTTTCGTTTAGTACTCTTATACACCCTCTATAATTTTTTTTTATAGTTAGAATGTTGAGATTATACTGCTGAAAAACTTAACTTTCTATAAACTACAAGTTCTTGCTGAACACCCTTCAAACTTTAATTTAATCGTTACATTTATTAACTTTCTGTTATCCTTGATATATTTTTTCAATATTTCTATCACAATATATGTAATCAATTTTGCAGTCTTTGATATGAATTTCAAGATCCAAAAGTTAACTCATTTAATTTATTTAATCAGTGTTTGTTTGTTGCCTTTTCTATATTATTATTTTGAATTATTTCATAAATAAAAATATAATCATAAATATAATAAAAAAATATAATCATCAAAATTTAAGAATGTCTCATGGTTTAGACAATTTTAAAAAACATTTATTTTACATTTAATTTACAAACAAATTATTTTTAGGTCTTCATTCTCTTTGCTTTATTTGCTGCAAGTCAGGCTGCAGTACTTCTTCACCCAGCTGCTGTTGGTACCGGTGGCAGTACTCAATACCGAAGCCAAGACGTAAGTTCTGAGTTGTATTTTTAATGTATATAAATTATAAATATTTTCCCCCAAAGACTTAATTTTAATTTGAGTAACGTTAATATAAATATTTTTTATTAAATAATATTTTCTTTTAGTTTAGCTCTAATAGTTCAAAAGAACTTTTATAACTTCATTTAAAGTTGCAATTATTCTTTATCTGTTATAGTTTTGAATATTGGATTTGTCGAAAATACTAATTTTCGGTCAGATAATTTAAAATTTTAATGTTTTGCTGTATAAATGATTTAACACGATTCTTTATTTTAAAAAATGCGCCAGGGTACCTAGTGATCGCTTAAAATATTTTAACACTATAATAATTTTAAAGCTTTTGCCAATGAATTCTAACACTTTTTTTAAAAAATTTATATAGTAAATAATTTCAGATATTACTTATTAAGGGCGATGAATATGTAAGAAAACAATATTTCTTAACGATATTTATAATTACATCTGCCTAAGGATGTTAAGTACGACCTAATTTAAGTCAAAATCGCATCAATTGTTTCTCATTTTCACATGCTAAGAGTAGGAAGGGATGACTTGGTTGGTAGGGCGATGGCACAATGTCCAAGAGGTCGTGAGTTCTATCCCCACTGACCGAAATAGTAAATTAGTAAATGGTGACTGGTGCTCGTTAAAGCTGCTAGGTCACAAAGTCCCCCATGTTCCTATAACAAATCATGTATCTGGGATTACTGAATTGGAGATTGATCGTTCTCTGGTTCAGGCTAAAATTACGATCTGTGGATGTATGCATGGGTTCACCCTATAAACGGGATGTGACATGTGTGTGACTAAAGTCGTATTCTTGGCCATAGATGGAGCCACTGAGAAACAAGAAGCGCACGCTCTGCTTTAAACTTACTAAACAGTCATACTGGTATTAAATAGGGACATTTCCATCTTTTTTTTAACTTGAATTTATTGAATTTTATTATTAATATTTTTCACATAATTAATTCTTTTCCACAGTAGAAAAATTAGAGTAGCCAAGAGCTTAAAGAATAAATGATTTACTTTTTATTAGTAAACAATTTTATCCAACATTTTACTCACAAAAATATTTCATGTACAATTTTGCAGAAAACAGACGAGAAAAATTTTTTTTTATGAATTATAAGGATTACCTAATATATACATCTCTATAGCATTGTTATATCGCTTGATATGTTATTATTTCTAAAAGTTAAAAAAAAATCACAAATTAAAGACAAATTTTATATAAATTGAAAAGCAAGGATGAAGAAAGCGTATTTTTAATAATTTGAGTTAAAAAAAATTTTTACTTTTATTTTATTCACTCACTGAATCAATAAACCTATTCATGGCTGAAAGTAAAGATCCAGAATTTCTAATTAATTAGTCTGTATCAAGCGTGAACAATCGGTGGAGAAATAAATTTCTTTTTTTGGGCTTATTTTTTTCTTTCATAATTTTTACTTTTTTTGTTGTTGTTGAGATAACAAACTAAAAACTTCAAATGGATTGCGATATTTCATTATAAAGCGTAGCGAAATTTAATTAAAATCGATTAATGTGCTACCCTATGTTCTTCCGAAATGATATGATACTAACTAGAGTGATAAAATAAAATGAATTGATACTAAAATAAGTAAAAGAAATATTTTGAAAAAGTTAGGACACAACTATCAAAGAATTATTTGCTGGAATTTTGCCTTTTCTTCCCTATAAATATAGAATTAGAGTAAAAAATTTAAAAACCTGACATGCCACCCTTTTAAATAACCATTTACATGGAAAAAAATTCTTTTAAAATTTCCATACTGTATGGCCATGATATCTATAATAAAAGGAAAAAAAATGCATTTCAACGAATAAAAACCAAAATATACGTTATTTATGCCTTTTATTTGGTCATGTTTTCGTTCATATCGAAATGGCTTATAGTTATTATTACCTCAGATTTAGCAAAAAATACAAAAAGTAAATTTTACCGAACAAATGGTTTTAATGACATGCTCTAAGATATCATGATGAAATTACCAAATTTTACCCCATTGACCACATTTTATGACTTTTTTATTATAAATCCATATTTCATTGTTAATTTTACCTAAATTGGTAAAAACTTTTGAGTTACTTGGTGTCCCCATAGCGATAAATTTTACTATACTTTTTTCTCAGAGTACTATTTATACGCTTTAATACGTGAATTTTTAGATATTACAAGTGAAAGTGTTTTTATTTCAAAGAAAGCTGTTTTAAAAAAATTAAGAAAGACATATTTTTCTTTTACAGAATTTTGGAAACTACAACTTTGGTTATGACGAAGGCCATCTTACTGGTGGAACTTTCCGAAAAGAGACTGGTGATGGACATGGCAACGTTGCTGGCTCTTACGGATTAAGAGATGCCGATGGTCGAATCCGAATTGTCAACTACGTAGCAGATGCTGCTGGTTTCAGAGCTGACATCAAGACCAACGAACCCGGTGTCGAACCTAAAGATCCTGCCCATACTGCCATCAACAAGGCTGGATTGGTTGTTGCACCAGCCCATGCTCCAATTGCATACGCTCCTGCAATTCCAGCTGCACATTTCGCTCAAGCACCAATTGCTTATGCAACTCACCATCTAACAGCCCCACACTACGGTTATGCTTACCACTTTTAAAGATATCTAAGTACAATAGGTTAATTTATTTTTCAGTTCAATGATGTTCTAAACAGAGCTTATGTCGAGTATAGAAATTCCTGCATTTAATGCAACATTGATCGTTTTACGCAAGCACAATGCATTTTAAGACAGCAGCTTAATTTCTTCGTGCATTCAATAAATGCAAAATTCATTTATACCCGAAATGGGGAAATTCTTGTCGCAGCTTTATGCAATCACTAAATTTTCTTATGTTTTTGCTATATTGTTCTAGACAAACTAAGATGAAGCTCAAAATTTCTGTTGTAGCTTTACACTATCTCGTTTTAGAGAATCTGGAGTGAAGCTCCATATCTGGTGGCTTAGTTTTCAACAATTTTCCTTCTTTGCAATAATGTGCAGCTTTTTAACATTTCTTAAAAAATTTAGTTTTGGACAAAATGCTTGAAACTGAAAGCCATTATTTTCTTGTTTCCTTTAACATATCCTTTTAATTTTATACTTTTTTCCTAACAAAGAAATTTATTTCATATACATTTACTTTCTACAATCAATATTTTACGCCCTTCTCCTTTAGAATATATAAGTATGAATTTGATATTTTTCTTTAAAAAATGTGTACAAAATTTAAAGCGATTTGATTATTTAAGAATATAGATTTTAATGAAACTAATATTCACTGTAAAGATTTTACCAATTTCATAATAATTTATTTCATTTTTGATTGTTAAATTACCACAAAACGGAAAAGAATTTTACCATCATAGTTTTTATCCTTTTTATCATTGGCAAAGAATATGATTTCATACACAGCATCCTAATTTATATTTCCATTGTTAAAAAATAAATGTATGTTATATGTTTATCAATAAAATCTTTTCAAATCTCAATTTGTCAGTTTAATTATTCTACAATCTCAGTATTTAAAATATTAAGATATATTGAATCGTAAACTTAAATTCTGGGATATTTGTAATAGTAACTGTTTTAGTTACAGATGATTTGGCACTTAGAATAAATATGGGCTGATCTAAAATTAAATACTTTTGAGAGAATGTAAGCACATATACTAAAGACGATGATGGTAGTTTCAAACTCTTTTAGACAAGCAAAGGAAGCAGCATTACATCATCTTAGTTGTATATCACAAAATCGAAGTCAAGTAACAATTTCTTCCGAGTATTTTAACCCTATTCTGACTTGATGAAATTTTGAGACTAAAACCCCCAAATCACTCGTTGGCTTTCAAAATTTGAACTTACATAAAAATTTTTTTTTAATATTTTGAACAGTGGACCCATTTTGCTTTTGCCGCTCTCAATGCTCAATTCCATAGCCCTGTAACTTTGAACCAAATCCAGAAGACAACAGTCAAAGGCAATAATTTCGATAAGCTTATTTTTGTACAGGGCGGAATTCATTTCATTCAAAAGCTCATTTTTGTTTGGAAAAAATAACCCATAGAGGAAAACTATGAAAACAGCTCATGGTTATTCCGATGGCAAGAGTTTTTTGAATTCTGATTATAAACCACTTGGGATAGTTTACCTTAGCTTAGCACCGTGGCCGGTATGAGCCGAGAATTATAAATTGTTGAACTTTGAATTAGTTCATTTTCTAATTATTAAGTTTTTAAATTAAAATACAATATACAAACTCAGTGCTCATAGTTGGACGCATAAAATGTGAGATATGCAATTTCCTAATAAAATAGCAAAGATAGTTAACTTTCATTTTGTAAGTCCTGTTCGTAAACTGATTTTTTCCTTTATTCATCTGTTATTCGAAGTTTTGAGGCCCTAAAAAAATAAATAGCACAAACAGTTCAGTCCAACCTTCAGCTACTTGCAGCTGAGATCCCTCAAATAAAATAGAATCTTTTTTAGCATATTAACAATTTTACAATAGACGCTATCAGTAGTTGGAAAAACTAATTTTTCTTTGCAGCTAACTACAAATACAACTACTTTATTACAATTGTTGTTAACTACAACTACTTTTTTAAATGTAGCGACAGCAAACTACTTTCAAAATGTAGTCACTACTCTTTTTAGAAGTCAAACTAACTGAAGAACTTAATTTTTACCAATATTCAAAATAATTTGGCCAATTTCCAATAGGCTTGGTGAAATATGAGTAGATATTAAGAAGTTTTAATTCATGTTTACATGAAATAATTTTTTATTCTAAAACACTTTTTTCGAATTTGTTCTTTTAATCTTTAAACTCTATGCTTTTCACAACAGTTATTTAAGAAGTGTTGGATTATTATGAAATATTTATAATTTAAAAGATCAATGCTTTTTTATATCCCCCAAGAAAAAAATTCAGTGCGATAAACGAAAAACGGACCACCATAACTTTTGATCTAATGATCGGATCTTCACATTCTAGGACTCAATCCTAATGGTTTGAGGAGATGACTATGCTAATTAATTAATGCAGACGACATTTTAAGTTATGAAATTAGACACAAAGACGTATTTCATAGTTCCTGTGAAATCGAATTTTAAAAAGTCTGAGAATCGAATTTTTTTTTGCGTTTGAACTTTGCTTTTTAGCGTTAAAAGGTTATTAATACAACTAAGGTTAAAAGTAGTTTGCTTTTTAACATTAAAAGGTTATTAATACAACTAAGGTTAAAAGTAGTTGCCAGGAGTCCCAACAAATTACTGTTTTTATGTCGCACTACTCACTACACTACTTCTTTTAAAAAATAGCACACTACACTACAAATTACAGAAAAAAGTAACGACTTCAGTAGTTTTGCTACTTGCTACTTCCGACCACTGAAAGCAACTAACTCGCACTACTCACTACACTATTTCTTTTAAAAAGTGTCACACTACAATATAAATTACGGAAAAAAAGTTACCACTTCAGTAGTTTCGATACTTGCCACTTCCGACAACTGAAAGCAACTAACTCGCAATTGATTAAAAACTTTTAGACTCGTGAATAACAAGATGTAAAAAATCTTTATTTATTTGAAATATACATTATATAAATAAAAATGTACAAAAAAACATAATACAATACATACTTTTCAGCTATCACAATAAGCCAACAAGAAAAAACTTGTGTCACTAGCATGGCAAATAAATAATATGTTCACTTGGAATAATCGTAAAATGTGCTCCGATGGTTGTAAATATATTGATATAAAAACTCAAAGCGTCCGTATTTTTTATTCTTAAAATGTCGAATGTTTAGAAACACTTCTTTGAATAGTTTTCAGTCAGTTGACTGCATAGAGGTACTAACAATGGCCATAAATCAGGCGGTGATAGTTATCTTCTAGTCCTTAGATGAGAGTGTTTTATTTCCTCTTAAGAAGGCCCGAACACCCTGTAAAGTAGTATAAATTATTTTCAAAAAAAAACTAAAAGCTGTATTTTTATTAAAGTGATTAATATTTATTTTTCTGGTAAATTATATTTCCCTGCATTGTTAGAGATAGAATAATGTCATTTCAAAATTCTTTATCGGTGACTAGTAATTTTTTTTCTTTTAAAACTTTCCAGGTTATTTATAATTAGATACCTAAAACATAATGATATTTTTTTTAAAAAAAACATCACTACGGTAATTATAAGCATTGGTAGTTAAACACTTTGTGTATCTGTAAAACTTATTTTTTTGTGATAATTTCTGTTTAAAACAATAGGATTCTTTGTTAATAACAAACATAAAGAAATTTAAATTATAGTTATTTTTCGTTTATTATTAATTAAAATATTTCGATGATTGATTTTGTTATTGATTAATCGTCAATTCTTTTATGAACAAAAATAGGCAGCGATTTAGGTAATGAAGATGCACTCCAATTACTGAAAATTTTATATATCTATGAATTTTTAAAAAAAAAGTGAAAATGATTATTAACCAGACGAATAATTATGAAATAAAAATACCGTTCTCCTGCCTTTGATCGAATCAAAAGTAAATTATGAAGTTTGCATTCATTTCCAAGATACCATATTACCAAATATAATGCGATATGACATATTTATAATTCTTGTTAAGCTTCAATTAAGTAATATTGTTCTAATATTTAATTAGTGTTATAAACCGTAACCTAGTGAAGGCTTTCCACCCAAATAACCGAATTGTGGTGGCATTGGATAATTAGGGGCAAAACTAGGATAACCTCTAATATCCCCAACGTACCCTTTGCCTTGCACGAGGTTGTTGTAGTATGCTGGAGGTGGAGGAGGTGGAAGAGGTGCTGGAGCGACAGGTGGGAATCCTTTGGCAATAGGTGCTGGAGGTGCAAAAACTGGTGCTGGCGGTGGTGGAAGAGAGAATACTGGTGCTGCTGCAACAGGCTTTGGAGGTGGTGGAGGTGGAGGAGGGAAATTGTAATAGCTTACTGCCGGAGGTGGAGGTGGATAAGCAACTGGAGCAGGATCTGGCACTACAAAGTTGTACTGTGGAGGAGGAGGTGGTGGTGGTAATGGTCGGAAAGCTGGTGGTCCATATACTGCTGGTGGAGGAGGTGGTGGAGGTGGAGCAGCTACGACTGGTGCTGCATAATATGGAGGTGGTGGTGGCGGAGGGGGAGCTGCAATTACTGGCGGTGGAGCAGGTACAAAGGGTGCTGGTGCTGCTACTACTGGTGCAACTGGAACAACAGGAGCTGGAACTATAGCAGGTTTGTTGATTGTTGCTGATGCAGGATCAGCTGGTGCAACTCCTGGTTCGTTTGATGTGACATCAGCTCGAAATCCATTTGCATCTGCAATGTATCGCACTACTCTTAACCTTCCATCTGCGTCTCTTAGACCGAAAGATCCCACTTTATTACCATAGGCGTCTCCTGATTCTCGTCTGAAGGAAGCCCCTGATGGGTGACCTTCACTATAACCAAATTCATATTGGCCAAGACCCTTAAAAAATAAACAAAAAACAAATTTTAGAATCAGAATTTTACAAATATATAGAGCTGTGACCGTGACATAAATTCATTTTAAAAACGATATATTTGCGTGGATCTAAGCATATTTATGTTACTGTGAATGACCGAAATTGGTGGTTGTTGACTTCCACCGGTGAATGACATTGAGTCACATTGGCGCTTTGATAAATGTCCGAAATGTATGCTAGGTCTAGTTAAGCGCCACAGTCAAGTATACATTTGTCCGGTATGCCCTACATCAATGTTTTTTTAAGGTTCAATGCCGCTGCCCGGTATATATTTAGGTACTCCTAACAATGATGTTTCTCCCAATCGATCCTCAGCAGATATTAAAATATCGAATAAATATAATAATATCGACTTATAAATTAATATCAAATCGGATATGACAAATATTTCGGACATTCACCAAAGCGACTATGCGATTGTTGACATTCACCTGTGAAAGTCGACATTCATTCTCTTGATTTCGGTCCTCCACTGTAACATTTATACAAAAATTGTCAGGAAATACAAATTACTTGCTAATGTTGTACATTGAAATCACGCTATTTACTGATTATTTTTAGAAGTAATGCGCAAATGTTTCAAAAGATTTGACTATTTATTTAGTTTCCTAATTATTTCTTAAAACCAATAAAGAATTTATAAATGTTGCTGATTGTATGTGAAAGCGAGGAGGATTTCAGTACTTGAACTAAAATCATTTACATAAAAAGCATTGAAATATGCTTTTGAAAAAAAAAAAATAGACGAAGTGAACGCCAAACACGGAAATTCGAGAAAATATTTTATATATTCAATTTTTGTCACATTCATTTAATTACTATTTTTTAGTATTATTAATTTAGTATTATTAAAATCTTTCTTACTTGTTTTATAAATAAAAAGTGCTTTGTTGAGAAATATTGAATATAACTACGTATCTAATAATATATTTTATTATTTAAATGAAATGATGAAACAATTCTGAAAGAATAATCTATTTTAATACAAGATTTTGAAATAATTAACTAAATATTTTCAGTGCAACTCCCAAAAATCTAAGTATATATAATCTAATATTTTTAATTGTACATTTATTTTTGGAGCGTAACATTACGAAATTAAAAACGTAAGGCTTGTAAATAAACCAAAACCATGTTATAAATAGCAGCTTATTTTGATATTAATTACGAAAATTAAAATTGAAATCCCAAAATGCTTAAAATCTAACGTTTTTAAAAAATAATATAAGAATAACACATAGAAAATCAAAATATTTAAAACACAGAATTTATAACTTGTATAAAATAAAACGAATGATTTATTGAAGTCTATGATCTTAAGCATAACGGATTACTAATTATAAATGTAACAAATTGTTAACGGAATTTGTAATTAATTTATTTTGATGATAGAAAGGAAAAAATAAATTATCAATAAAACATAAATCACAAAATTTTGGTATTTTACGAAATTTAGAGAATTTCCTTTATCTGTTATTCATAATAAACATCCTCTTGTTATTTATAATAAAACTATTCCTGTTACTCATAATAGATATGTTTATGCTATTTATGGTTAACACATCACTTTATCAGCTATGTATAAAATTTAACTATTTAAAGATACATTCTTTACAATATTGTTGGTTATATTTTTCACTTTTAGAAATTTATTAAATCTGTTTCTGTTTTCAAAACTCATTTTAGAATTGATTGTCATTATTATTTCCATGATAATTTACTTACCATTTCTATGAATATTACAGAAGTATAATTATCAAAATAACTTAAAATTTTAACTTAAAGCATCCAACAGGATTCAAAATTAATATCTGCTGAAGTGCAAAAAATTAAAGTTAAACTTACATCTTGATTATTAAATGTTACTGCTGCTCCAACGTCATCAGGATTTCTTGCAGCAATGAGAACAGCTGCTCGGCAACATGAGATCGCAGCTAATATCACTAAGATCTAAAATAAAAATAATAGTAGTTTTGTTATAAATGTAGTTAATTAACGACTTAAAAACAAATATTTAGAAACAGTTCGAGTCTAAACATATTTTTAATATATTTATATTATGCAAACGATATTTTTACAGGAATCTTAAAATTCTCTTTTCTTATTTCCATACAATTTATGGTATAGATAATATGGTTGATATCACTAAGATGTAAAACGAAAATAATAGTAGTTTTGTTATAAATGTAGTTAATTAACGTCTTAAAAACAATTATTTAGATACAGTTCAAGTCTAAATACATTTTTAATATATTTATGTTATGCAAACGATATTTTTACAGGAATCTTAAAATTCTCTTTTCTTATTTCTATACAATTTATGGTATGGATAATATGGTTAATATCACTAAGATCTAAAATGAAAATAATAGTAGTTTTGTTATAAATGTAGTTAATTAACGCCTTAAAAACAAATGTTTAGATACAGTTCAAGTCTAAATATATTGCTAATATATTTATATTATGCAAGCGATATTTTTACAGAAATCTTAAAATTCTCTTTTCTTATTTCTATACAATTTATGGTAATAGCTCCAAATAAACTCGTGATTTAAAATGAAACAACTTTTAAAAACTATAAGCATAAGTTTAATTTTAATATTTATTCATTTCTTTTTAATATTTCAGACACATAACACGCCTAATGTAAATATGCTAATAAATAAATAACATAAATAACAGTAGTAAGGTAATAAAGAAAAACTTTATATAGTAATTATTAAAGCTTCTAATAGTAATTAATAAGATTTATTACTGGAAAGGTTGTAAATTGTTTTACAAAAAAAATTACTCGCTATTGGTAAAAAAAACTTTGCCTCGGTGGACAATAAAAAATAATCTCAAATTCTATGAACCTCCAAACAAGAATAACGATAGCGAAAAATAAATTTTGATTACTAAAATATTAATATAGAACTCTTAAAAATGTGAAACATAATGTAATTTTCCTTTTTGCCATTCAAAATTGATTGCAAAGTAAAATTTTATGCTATTTTATATTCTTGCGTTCGTATAATTAAGTAATGAGCCGATATTTGATGATAAACGGGTTTTAAAGTTTTACAAAATCGAAAAAATTGAACTCAAGATTTTTTATTTTTAAAATAGTTTGAACTTAACACTATAAAATATCTCTGAATAATTTGTTTTAAGATGTAAACAAAACAAGCCCTACTGCATCAATGAGATTACAGAGTTTTACGAAAATTTTTTAGGTTTCATTAATAAATGCAATTCCAAGACATTTGCTATTGTTGAGTTTAAATATGCGTCGTTAAGTTCAGAAACCATATGAAATGCAGATATTTAGGCATAAAAATTGTTCTGAAATATGCTCTGTACATATATGCATCCTCTATCCTACATCTGTAAACAGATTCTCTGTGAAAACGTTAATTTATTAGTTCATATTACTCACAACTGTATCTAGTTGTGTACAAATATTGAGTTAAGAGTCACATTAACTCCAGGCCGACCATGAAAGGTTTAAGCTTTTTTCTGAAGGAAGGAGTTGTTTCACTGAATATCTTTTACAAAAGCGACTTGAGAGTAACCCTCTTCTGAGCTGCATCCGAATATCAAGGGTACGAAATCGAACAAATTATTGCCTGGAATGCACTACGTGGATTGACTACTCATCTATGGTGATAAAATAAAAATAAAAGGCCCCGATGATGTTATTCCCTTAAGGATATAATCATTTTGGGATATGCGGCACACAATAAAACACAAATATCCAAATGAAGTGAAGTGAAGTAAAATATCCAAAGAAGATGACTCACCTTCATGTTGTGCTACTGAAGGATGTTTAAGAAATCTTGTAAGTTCGAAATCTGATGGTTCTGAAAGTTGGAGACCCCTTTTATACGACAACCTTAATCACAATCAGGAATGTGACGTGACGTCACTACCCCCTCTCCTAAAATATGAAAAAAGATTTTTTTAGCGATCTTGCATATTTTCTGTCAAGTATTCAAGCATTTTGGTGTCACATCGTTAAATGGAAGGTCGGAAGCATTAAAATTCGACCTTCCATGTCAAATGGCACTCTACATTTTTCGAATTAACCTACCACACTTTCTATTGTACTCTGTTCTGGAAAAGGGGCTTTTAACTTCTTATTTACGATTTTGTCCCTACGAGCAATCGGGCCAACGACGCGCACAAGCGATGCAGTTTATCACCCATTGTAATATGGCATTCTGGGATAGTGTTGCAATCCCTTGTCCAGAAAAGAAAGTTCTTTCGGACTTTTAATTCTTTGTTTGTGCCGTTGTTTACATTGGACGATTTTACCATGTAGAATTTCTCTCTCCATAAAAGAAAAAAAAGAAGAGATTTTATCCGATATGAGAATTGTAAAGATTTGAATCTTCGATTTATTTACAAATTATTAAATGTTAATTATTAAAAAGAAAGTGTTTCCTTATGCAAATTGTGAAGTTGTAAGAATCTCAATTTGCTGTTCAATCAATAATTATTAATTATTAAACGTAGGAAAGAATTAGGGAAGCTAAAGCATTAGCTGAATAATTGAATAAGTATAATTTAAATTATAAAAATATTACCATCCATTAATAAGTATGTTGTAAATAATACTACGAATAATAATACGATAAATAAAAATGATATCAATAATACAATTTTTCAAAATGATTTTTAAAGAGGAAATATTTCTAAAATCAAGCCATTGCAACTTAGGAAGGGTAATTTTTGTATTGTTTTTAAATGCTGAGTTCTGATAGTATTGGCCTCATAATAAAGTTATAAAAATACCAATCGAATTAACAATGAATCAATCTACATAATTCTAATTCCTTCTATTTCTTTCTCTTAGAAATTGCTCTATTTCTGTATCCTTTATTTTTGCCAAATTATAAAGTAATTGTTGTTTAAAATTTACTAAATCATTATAATACGTTTATATTTGTTTCATTCATTTGTGCCTTTATGTTTTTTTTTTCAAATTTAAACACTCATCAATGATGTATTTCCATTTAAGAAGTATTTAGACAAATAAAAAACTAAGAAATTTATTTTTAAATTAAAAAAGAATTAAAATGAAGATTATGCTCACAAGTAAAAAAAGCATGTTTCAGATTTTTAATAAAATGCATAGATAGATTTCAGCTGTTAAAAATTATAAGGTGAATAGTTTACAATTTTTAAAACATAATACATTTTTTCTAATGTTTTACATAATAATATTTATGAAGAAAAATTTAAAATGCAGCTGTGTTTTTTTCCGTATCATGGATGGATATAAAAATAGTAAAATATTGTCATGGGTGAGAAAATAGTCATTAATAAGGCAATATTTAAAGTCAATTATTTGCTCTATCAAGAACATAACTAAAATGACAAATTTTTTACCTAAGCATATTTTTTTAAATTTAAATTTTTTAAATTTTATTTATTTGACAAATTTTAACAGTAGTAAAGTATTTGAAATGAACCATATCAAAATTAAGAAAAAAAGATAAAATTTGTTAAGTTTGATCAGAAATAATCATTTAAGAAACGTTTCCCTTTTCATTATTTGAAATTGATTACCTTAAATAAATTGCTTTATTCTAATTGATACTAAACAGAACTTAAATATGTAAGTCAAATTATTTTAGTTTAAGTAATTTTACCAATGATTGAAAGTCATTGAAAAGTACAAAATTAAATCTGAAAAATAATATTCACCTTTATAATATTTTTATAACCATTTTTAAGAATGATGCTAGATCAATTTTAAGCCATGCTGAAACAATTTAAAAAATTATCTTTTCAATTACTAAAATCAAAAATTTTATTTCTTGTAGTTTTGTCATTGTATGTTTTTATTACACTTATGTCATTGAATGATTTTTAATACTATTGTTTTTGGGTGTATTTCTTATATTTTTGTCATTGAATGCATTTTTTAGAATTTTGCTATTTGATATGCTTTTTGCCATTGATTGTGATTTTTTTTCCACTGAGTATGTATTCTTCAATTTTGGCGTTAGATTAATTTTTTATAAATTTGGTAGCTTATTTTTTTTCCATCAAAAAAATAATCTTTGTCATTTAATATTTTGTTAATCTTGCAGTTTTGCTGTTTTAAATGATATAAAAAAATAACTTTATAGTTCTATAAACGTATTTATTTTTTGGTAAATAATGTTTTACGAAAAATCGGAGTTATTTTTAGAATGATTAAATAACTTTTGCCCATTAACAATAAAATTTTGACCAATGAACTCATCTATAAACGGTGAATTGAAGTTGTCAATCTTAAACTCATGACATGTAAATGAAAAAAATAAAACAAAAAATAATAATTAATAATTTATTATATTATTTAACTACGTACAACAACGCAAAACATTAAATTGAGATCCAGTCAAAATAAATAGAAGCGAATTGTCTACAAATGGTATCCATAAAATCCATTGACTGCAGGGTTGTAAAGTCCATAATGACCAAGATGAGCTGGAGCAGCGTATGCGAAGGGGGCAGGAGCAGCAGCATAATGAGCCAAGCTATGAGCTGCGTATGGAGCCAATGCTGGAGCAGCATATGAGCTTATGACTGGAGCAGCGATAAGAGCCTTGTTGACAGTGGTTGAAGCAGGATCTTGAACTGGGTCGACTCCAGGTTCATTGGTTTTAATGTCAGCTCTGAAGCCAGCAGCATCAGCCACGTAATTCACAACTCGGACTCTACCATCAGCATCTCTCAATCCATAAGAGCCAACTTTGTTGCCAAAAACATCTCCAGCTTCCTTTCTGAAAGTCCCACCACTAAGGTGACCTTCATTGTATCCGAAATTGTAGTTTCCGATGTTCTGTCGAAAAAATATTTGACATTAATATTTTATCTTAGAGCATAATCTTAATTACTTAAAAAAAAGTTTGTCGAAAATTTTTACGAATTTTTGTTTGCACAATAAAAAATAACTGTATATTCTACAAAAAAACAACAACACGCCTTTTGCATGAAAAGAAACTTCTTGAATATAAATACAGGTATAATTTTGTTTTTAATTTTTACCCAAACGCTGTAAAAAATTCCTGTTTTTTTACATATTTTCTACGTATATTTCACTTTTAAAGTTGCTTTTCACAAAACAATTTTTCTCTGTTTTTCACCCTAATTATAAGCGGATCAAAACTGTCCATTCAGATTATAATTTTTACCATGCATTTGTGCTTACAGTAAGACAAAGCAAGAATTTGGCAAATTTTGTTGATAGATTAAAAAAGAAATAGGTAGAGAAATTAAATTTATTGTTTAATTAATACAATCTTGGGTTCAATTTTTCATTATTATCATTGAAATTATGTATTAGTCGAAAAATATTTGAACAAAATGTTAAATTTCTAATTTAAGTTTAATATTATTGTCATTAATAATACCATAAGGCCTATCAATGACCTAAGTAGTTCATTAATTTTTTTAAATATTGAAAGCTTATCAACTAGAGCAAATTATAAAGAATGAAAAGCATATAAACTTTTGAACTAAATAAGAAAATAGGTTATAAAATGAAATTACTTTAAAAATCAACTTACATCTTGAGCTCTATATTGTGTGCTTCCACCTGTGCTAACCAGAGCTGGGGCACCAAGGAGTACTGCAGCTTGGCTGGCAGCAAAAAGAGCAAAGAAGATGATGACCTTTAAAAGGAATGGATTGGTTACATTAAGCAAAACAATGAAGTAATTATCAAAATCATGATTTTATTATATTTGTGTATTAAGTTGTATGATGAAATATGATGATTTGTTACATATGAAAAAAGATAAGTTTTTCGGAATAGTACTTCAAAAACATTTTTTATATATACATATAAATATCTGATTTAAATTTTTAAATTTTTTATCGGTGTTAATTATCCATTATTTATCAATGTTAATTATCAATTGTTTATAAATTTTATTTATCAACGTCATTTATCAAACGTTTTATTGAATTTATGATACACTAAATGCGTTTTTCTATAAATTTATTAATCAACTTCATTGTTTTATTTATTGCTAGATAGAAAACTTGTTACAATAACTTGCAAATAATTTGATAAAATAGCTGCTAAAAGGTAAAAATAATACTTCATTTTAAAAGATAAAAGTAATTCTTTATATTTAATCTGAAATTGATATCATATTTTTAACTTTTTGAAATAATATTTCATTCATTAGTTTAATATTTATTTCGAACTAATAACATTGCTAATGTATGAGTAATAACATTGCCAGTAGTATGAGGGTTGTAGGTAAGAACCCTTTGCCCCCCTTAAATTTAGTTCCTTACGCTTGAACTAAAATATAACTTAGTTTTAGGTTAGTACGCTAAAATTTTGCTGCTAAAAAAATAAAATTTTTTCCCGCAAATTCAATAGAAGCCAGTTGTTTGATTATAGTTTTAAAAAGAACTTAAATAAGAATGTGTTAAGAAATATTTTATAATAATCAGGTTTATGTTTTGCAATTAAAAGAATGGAATTATTCATTTGTATTATCAGTAAAAGTAATATTTATTGTTAAAAAAAGTTAAATGAGTTTAAATGTATTAAATGTTTACGTTAAATTATGCAGTTAATTGATAAAAAATAAAATGTTGTTATAAGCCAAGCGGTTTTTATTCAATTCATTGAATTAATAGAAATAAAATCAATCTCGTGTATAAAATTTACAGGAGAGTAAAAATCTATATAAAGAAACTAAACGTAATTACTGATGCAATTTATAATTTATCTTTTCATTCATAAATCGGAAAACTTTTATCTTAATACTTTTTTAAATAACTATACTATTCGAAGAAATAAATTTTTATAGTTTCAACATTTAAAGAAAAAATAGTTGTTGAAATCAGAAAATAAACAGTTATATCTTCATACTCAATAATTATGAAGCATTAAATAAACAGTGTTAAACTATTGGATAAAAATAAAAAAATATATTAATTGAGTAAGTGAGAATGCATTTACCTGCATGATTACTGTGGATGCGTTCTCTTAGAAAACTGATGATTTTACTGTGAATTTTACTCATATTTATACTTCAAAAGCATTTCGCCGTCAAACGTTTGCAAGGACTCCCAGTCATTGCTGAAAATAAAAAATAAAAAAGTTTAAATTGTATCAACGATTCACTCACTATAAAACAACATACAAACAGAAAACATTCTTTTTTAGGGTGGAGTCATCGGAATTGCCCAAAGGTCAATTAAAAATAGGTATTTGTCTCGAGCTTTGAAATCCCTTGAAACGCATAATGAGATAATCGAATGTTTCTTTTCATTGTCTTCACTATGTAATAAAATGTAACGTTACGCGAGAAAACCTGTTTATTAAAGGACGTTTACGAGTTATGTGAGATTGACTAGGTAACCTTAGCTCTCGAGTTATCAATCAATTGTTATGGAAGGCAGCAGAACTGTTTGAATTGTACTGGAGGAAAAATCATTTTAATTTCTTATTTTTAGCTAAATATGGCACGGATATTGTTTATACATGCATTGAATTATCATGATATATTATATTAAAAAATCTGAATTTTTTAATGAAGATACAAATTTTAAAACACGATAATATTCCATTTATGTTTTTGAATAAGAGCAATAGGTTAAAGACTAATCTTAGAACTTTAAGTTTATTATGTGTTCTACTTGAACAAATACATATGATTCTTTTTAATGATATTTGTTTAAGAAATGCTTGCTAATGATAGGCTTTAATTTAAAGTTTAAAAAACTTCAAAAATGATTGTGAAATTTTAAAAGCTAGCCAGGTTTTTAAACTGAGTAAAAACGCTCTTTTGTGAATCACGACAAACACAAAAATCATGAATAAAAATGTGAATAATAGAATACATCTGCAATTTGCAAGCGGTAAAAATTGATAAAATAATGTGTAGTAATAGACAAAATTGCCTTATAGAATATAATATTTCGCAATCAAGTTATAATTTTTTCTTCTTATCTACTTCATTAGGAAAAGCATTCCATATGTGTGTGCATAAAATATTCGTCGACAAAATCAAAAATTTTCGTTTAAAAAACTCGATTAATCTAACGATGTGAGCTTAACCCTTCTTTCGTATTTAAAAAAAACTTTTTTTAACTAAAAATATTATTATTTTTGTTAGTAGCACTTAAATGTTTTTTTTTTATCATGAAGGTATTATTCTTAATTGTTATAAGTCATTTATCTCTTTTGAAAGTACAAAAAAAAAACTTCGAAAAAGATTTTTGTAGTTGGCGTGCTTTGCTTACTGTCATTTTAACCTATTAATTGTTACACAAACTAGGACTAGGACTTTATCACACAAACTAGGATTTTTTTCCTCAAAAAATTTTTGTTGCTGCATTTTTTAGCCATTTTAGTTCAAATTGCATAATTATAAATGTGATCATATTTATTTTTATTTTATCAGATATGTCTGAATACTTGGAAATAATAAATTTAAATATGTAAATATAGAATATAATTGAATTAATGTGACTAAAATCTCTTGAGAAAAATTAGTCTTTTTTTTTAAATTATAACGATGTTAAAAATATTATGATACATATAATAAATAAAACTAAATTCCGTTAGAGTTATGAATTAGGTATTCACATAAGAATAATGTATAAGAAAAATATAAAAATATTTTATAAAACCAAACTTTTTTATTACTATGTATCATTCATATCCGCACGGAATTTTTCTGATGAATAAAAGTCAAAACTCCTGAATATTCTAAAAAACACGGGAATACATTTCTATCGGATATTCATTTAACATATTTAAGCAGTTTGATTTATTTTGAAATATCTTTAACTAATATAATAGTATAAAAACAGTATATCATAGTTAAAACTTCCATTAAAAGCGTTAAATAGAATAAACTGAATAAAAAAAGGAATAAATATATTGTTACCTTTCGAGGAAACATGCTTTCTCTAAGGATTTTAAGAAGGAATCCCATTTCTAAGTGATTCCGCAGAAAGCATATAAGTCTTAGACTTAGTCATAAATTTTATGGTTATGATTTTCTCATATAACAGAATGGTAGAAGAAGAGGAATAAAATAATAGAAACTAATATGACATTTATTGTGAAAAGCATTCTAAATGTTGTGGATTTCCCTTGGGTGGTTTTACCCAAGTATTGTTTTCACATTATCATGTTTATAGCTCTAATATTTATAAAAGTCATCACATTAAATATATTTCTTTATATAAATCAAGTAGTTGTTTTGNGGTTTTTAAACTGAGTAAAAACACTCTTTTGTGAATCACGACAAACACAAATATTAAAACGACGAATAAAAATATGAATAATAGAATACATATGCAATTTGCAAGTGGTGAAAATTGACAAAATAATGTGTTGGAATAGACAAAATTACCTTATTGAATATAATTTTTCATTATCAAGTTATAATTTTTTTTCTTACATATTTCATTAGGAAAAGCATTGCATATGTGTGTGCATTAAATATTCGTCGAGTAAATCAGAAAATTATGTTTGAGCATTATGAGCTTAAAACCCTTCTCTTTTTTTTCAAAAAAAAAGGTAGAAAATTTTTTTACCAAATATATCAACTTTTTTTCATTGGTGACACTTATATGTTTTTTCATCATGAAGGTATTATTCTTAATTATTAAAAGTCATTTATCTCTCTTAAAAGTACAAAAAATACTTCGAAAAAGATTTTTGTAACTGGCGTACTTTGCTTACTTTTATTTTAACCTATTAATTGTTACAATTTTATCACACAAACAAGGAATGTTTCTTTCAAAAAAGTTTTGTTGCTACATTTTTTAACCTTTATAGTTCAAATTGCATAAATATATATGTGATCATATTTATTTTTACTTTATCAAGTATGTCTGAATACTTAGAAATAAGAAATTTAGATTATTAAATATAGAATATAATTGAATTTATACGACTAAAATCTCTTGAGAAAGTTTAGTCTTTCTTTTTTAAATTATAACAATGTTAAAAATATTATGATATGTATACATATATAAACATAAATAAATTCCGTTTGAGTTATGTGTTAGGTATTCATGAAAATAATGTATAAGGAAAATATGAAAATATTTTATAAAAACAAAACTTAATGAAATTTTTATTACAATGTATCATTCATATCCGCATGGAATTTTTCTGATGAGTAAAAGTAAAAAATCCTGAATATTCTAAGAAAAACGAGAATACATTTCTTTCGGATATTCATTTAACATATTTAAGCAGTTTGATTTATTTTGAAATATCTTTAACTAATATAATAGTATAAAAACAGTATATCATAGTTAAAACTTCCATTAAAAGCGTTAAATAGAATAAACTGAATAAAAAAAGGAATAAATATATTGTTACCTTTCGAGGAAACATGCTTTCTCTAAGGATTTTAAGAAGGAATCCCATTTCTAAGTGATTCCGCAGAAAGCATATAAGTCTTAGACTTAGTCATAAATTTTATGGTTATGATTTTCTCATATAACAGAATGGTAGAAGAAGAGGAATAAAATAATAGAAACTAATATGACATTTATTGTGAAAAGCATTCTAAATGTTGTGGATTTCCCTTGGGTGGTTTTACCCAAGTATTGTTTTCACATTATCATGTTTATAGCTCTAATATTTATAAAAGTCATCACATTAAATATATTTCTTTATATAAATCAAGTAGTTGTTTTGTTTTTAAAGATTTGGTTATGTTTGTCATTAATAGCCTTTTAAAGCATTGAAACATACTTATTCGAGTCACAATTATTCGATAAAGTTTTATGCAAAAGTTTTATATTGCTTTATATTCTGTATAAAATTACTTTATGAAGTACCGGCACTTTGGGTTAATCATCCATAAAATTCTTTTTTACCGCAAAATATTATACCGTAATTTTTCATTTAATTAGAATGATTCAAAGATTTTACAGTAATTATTACTGCCGAAATTACGGTTTATCAGATTTCTTGTTCCATAACATTTCAGGGGAAAATATTTGAGTGCCGGTACATTTTAGGTACATTTTACCCTGAGTGCCGGTACATTTTACAGTGATTTGCAGTGATTTTTACAGCATATATCAATACTAAATAGTGTATAAATTGAATTGAAAATGTATTCAATTCTTTCTCTACAGCAACATGTTTGCTTCATTTTCACTAAGAAAGAAAGTAGGCTCAAAACTACCAGAATACGGTAAAATTTACCGTGTTTCTGGCTGATTGAGAACAACAAAAAACTTGGCAGTTTTTACTGAAGCTCTTTTATAATGATTATGGTTAAGTTGTCAATAAAATATGGTTTTATAAAATGCGGTAAAAGTCACAAAATGATGTGATATTTGATAATTTTGTCATGATACTATAGAGCATGACATGAAATTTGTTAAATTTACTTTTCAATCTTTTTTTTTTTACTAAATGTGTGAACTATACTTTTGAGAATCAGAATTTCAGACAAACATTTACTATAAAAAAGAAAAAATTATCAAATGAACGGATTAAATATAGTACACTTAGGTTTTCATTACCAGAATTATGTTTTTTTTTCTTCAGAATTGTTATTACCATAAAGTACGGAAATTGTACCAGAATGTTTTTCTTAATGTAAAAATAACTAAATCGTTGTACAAGTTTGAAAACTTGATATAAAGTTTTCAAAATATAAATAGAACCCATACTGCTGGAATTTTTGGACCCGGTTGAAGTGCATCATTTTTCACATTTGCTGCAACTTTTATATAATTTCGAGTTTAATCACACTAATTAAACATGATTACACGATATTCAATTTAAACAGAATCACGACGCACAAAATCTAACAATTAACAAAAGTAAACAAGGAACTAACTATATAACAACTCATTAAAAGTTTTTTTTTTTAAAAATTCCAAAATTTTGTATTTTAAGACACCAAATTAAACTTTTACATAAAAGAAAACTTTTCAACCTTCACTTATAAACAAAATCAAAAGCAATGAATATAACTCTTTATTAATTTTATGATGATAATATCAAAATCTAAAAATATCTCCTTTACAAATTAAGAATCCTTCCTTTTAGTTCGATTGCAGAGGAATAATTTCTTTCTGTAACGTTTAAAGTTGCCAGCTACATCAGATTCTTATTTAATATTTCAAAACCATTGAATCATTCCCGGAACAGCTGGCCATAGGTCAGATTGGTCTTGGAGGATAAATTTACACAACCCATCTCAAACTGCCACCATTATTCGTGACCAATGGTAAGATAATAGCAATGTGGTCAGCAATACGAATTGGTCATCGTACTTCTCAGACAAAGAAGACATCAATTTGGACCTGTATTTACTTTAAGCCGCAATTGTAGATAGAAACTTGGACTTGCAGTTACAGTTTTTTGCTTCATCTAATGCACCATTTAGGTTCCTTTAATGTGTCAAGGGGTACATAAAGTAATGCATGTGCGAATGAAATAATTTGTGCAAATGAAATTTTTAATTAAGATTAACTTATTTAATACTCAACTTAGTTGACTTTTTATAAAACTTTTAAGTATTAAATTCATTAATTAAATAGTTTAAGCCGTGGTGGCTCAGGGGATAGAGCGTTCGCCTTCCAATGAAGTGGACTGGGTTCGAAGCCCAGCGATGACTGATTTAAACAAATTCAGCATCCGGCTCGCACTGACCACAATGCTGGTGCAAAATATCCTCAGTGGTAGACGAATCGTGGCTTAGAGTCCCTTGACGTCAGTCTAACCATGGTGGGTTTTCGTCGTTTTCCTCTCCATGCAACACAAATGCGGGTAAGTTCCATCAAAAAGTCCTCCATGAAGGCAACGTTATCCCAATACTTGATCCAGGAGTTCCCTTGTCTTCTGGAATGGGCTCAAAGTCTACGGAATTGAACATTTTTCATTCACCATAATTCAAAATTGGGTCTGCTTTTCAACGATGGTTATAAAATGAAATAAAATTCGAACTAGTAGATTAATAGAAATAAATATTCAAAAAATTTTCACTTTCCAAAATTTTGCTTTTTTATAATTTTTTGTGTATAGAATTTAAGAAAAGTTTGAGGTTTACTAGCCTTGCAACTGAAGTTAATCTGAAAGAAAAATCTCATTACTTTATTTCAGCATATAAATCATAAGGCCTACGTAAGAAATTTGTTTCCCAATTTGTTTCTAATTATCATTAATCAGCTTTTGGACAGTTTATTGACTTTTATTTGAATGTTCTTATCAGAGTCAGTGATCAGTATTGCTGAAAGGCAGATTGATAAAGGTGTGGCTAGCATAAGACTGTGCGTGGTCTCAGAGATACATTTTACAGTCTTAATATCAGTCACTGACCATTTAAAAATGACCAAAAAAACCTATTTGCAATAAATAACCTTTGGTAAAAACGTCCTATAGTCTTTCCTTTAAAATTATTGTATGAAAGTGAAGTTGGATCGTTGATTTAAATATTTATTAAATGTACTATATAGTGCAAACGATTTTTTTAAAGCAAATTACAACAATTATTTGTGAAAACTTTCTATAAATCTGAATTTACATTTCTAAAACTTGTATAAAATGTACATTTCTAAAACTTGTATGCAACTGTGTATAAAATGCGTTAAACTAATTTTTTGTTCTCATACTTTGCCTGCAGTTCATTCAGTTTTGAATATTTGGTGCTTGAAATTTTATATTATCTTGTTCTTCAAAATGTATAGAGGTAATTTCTTATTAAGTCTAAAATATATAGAGATCTATTTTTTTTAAAATTTTTTATAGCAATGGTTAATATCATTTTCACGAAATTAAATGAACAATAATTTTTAAAATGGCAAAAAATTTCTCTATTTCTCTTGATCTTTCTATATTGTCTTGAACAAAACTCGATTAATTATGTCGAATAAAAACAAAATGAAAATAAAAAGGGTTGTTTCTGAATTAACAGTAGGATGAGAATAAAATGTATATTTTATGGAAAAGGTGGTTAGAGATTTAAAATGCTTTACATAGCTTTGCATAGGCTGCAGTAACTTCTCCTAAAAATCAGAATCATTAAAATCGTTTCAAAACTAAATTTTATAATTTTTTTTTGATAAACAAGAGTCGGACAACCTCAGTCGCCCAGATAGATTTTACTCTCCCATATAATATCTATGTTAATAAAATCACTTGATTTGAATAGATAGAGTATATAATAGGGATATTTTGCAAATTTAAGCTAGCTTCCGTACACTTCCGTACATAAGATTTTAATTAATTGCATGCGTACTTTCAGTGCTCGTGCGTCAGCTCTAGTGAAATGCGCATGCGCTCGTAAAAAGACTATCAAATTTACTTAAAAGAAAATAAGAGATTTTGCAAAAATCCATAAGTTAAAAACTCAAACGTAGTGCAATTCCATTTTAACTTTGACCATAAAATTGAAACAAACAATTACAATGGATCTAGACGATCTCCACAAAGCTGTGGCTTGCGTCTCAAGATGCTTTACTCTACGTAAAATTGCGATTTTGTGGTCAGGAAAATTTGGTAGATTTTGGTAGATTCAAAGATAAAGAACGAAGCTTATTATTTAGATTTGCAGCCAAAAATTAAAGAAATTTAGTTTCTGCGTGATGTCCACAAATAACCATAACTTACAGTAGTTCGCTTTAAACTACATAGATAAGTTAGTAATAGTATTCATTTCTAAATTTCTTCAATGCATATCTTCAAATTCACATTTTATTTGCATGTTTTAAGTTTGAAGGTCGACATAAACAGAAAACTACATTTAGCAGCTATAAACAGCGTGCTTGTAACTTAGTCTTTGTAGCATTAATTACGCCAACATTACCTAATGGTCCCTAGCGTCTAAAACTAAAGAGAGCATGCGAAGATGCTTCAAATCTTACGTACGGAAGCGTAAAATTGCGAAATCTCCCTAATATCATTTACATCTAAGGCAGCATAGCATATTCCTGCTTCTTGTGTCTTACACTTAATATAAAAGCAGTGGCTATAGTATCCTCCAATGTCAAGATTATTCATAATGTCTTTAGTATCTACAGAAATATATATATAGTTTTCTCTTTCCTGTTAACTACTGTAAACTAGCAGCAATATTTGCCTTTATTACTTTCATTTTTCTTTAGGTCAAACAAACAAACGCAGTTAAATTATTTTAATCCGAATTTCGGATCCCTATTTTTATTTTTTTTAGAACCATATTATCATGTAATCAAGTTTAAGAAGTACAATAATATGTTTTAATTGAGCATCCTATTAAGGTTGCCGAACTGAAAGGTTTCTAAGGAAATTGTGGTAAAGAAATGCTTTAAACTCACCAATATTCTAGGAATAGAAATGTAATTTTAAATACATATATAGTGGTAATCAAGTAATTATAAACAATTTAGTTTTAAATCTAAAGAATCTCAATTCATTGAAAATTTCTTCAGGTATAAAGATATATTCTGTATTTATTTCAAAACTATTATTAAAATTCTGTTATGAACACTGCAAACTATTTAATGTACAGCCAAATTATAGATCTTTATAATCTAACAATGCACTATAATACGGAAAGATACAACTGGAGTTAAATTGCTATGTTCAAGTTGTACAAAGCTATGTTTCACTTGAGCATCATATTAACAGTTTGTAGCAAATTTGGTTCAATAACTTTCTAAACTATCTAATAATCTAGGAGTGTAATTTTGAATAAACGGTTTGCACTAATCAAGACATTATAAATAATCTAGTTTGAAATCTTAAGAATTCCATTCCATTGGAATCTTCTTTAGGTATTTTTTCTAAAGAAATCTTCTATGTTCATCTCAAAATTGTTATTAAAACTTCCATAATGAACACGACAAACTACTTATTGTACAGACAAATTATAGCTTTTGAAATAATACAAACGAATTCACTCGTAAAACTTAATGTCAGTATCCAACATTTAACCAGTTTACATAACGTATAATAGCATCTTGTAATGACCATTTCTTTCGTGGTCATAAATCCCATGATGCAACGTTTTGCTCTTTGTTTTTATTTCTATATTCAACCATCCTTGAAAACATTACCTGGGTGATGTCCTTATCAACAATATCATGTTCACAACCTCAACTCATCAAGTTCATTTTCTTATCTTTTCTTACGGTTAGTGCCCTATTGTGTAGTTGATTTTACGAACCGAAAGGGATCGAGATTGACCTTACATCCTACATGGGTCTTTGGTCCGCCTAGCCACAGATGGGTCTGTGCGCGCAATAGATGAGATGGTATTCTGCCCACTTTTATGATGACAATTATTATGCATTCTGATGTAACTCGCCCTTTTTTAATTAATAGCTATACGAAGAGTATATATAGAGGGTTTTTATTTAAATGTCTTTTAAAATCTGACAAATTTTGAAGATCTCGCCATGAAGGTTTGTATCACTTCTACTTAATGACATATTTTTGAATAAAATTTAAATGATCTCAAAAACTCATTATTTGAAAAAAAATCTATGAGTAACTTTACAGATAGAATATTTATTGTGATTTTTGATTTAAAGTGAAATATGCTTCAAAAATATGAGATTAAATGAAAATTATAAAACAAATTTTAAAGAATAATACTCAATCCATAAAAATGCTACATAATGAATTCGAGTACGATTATGTGTTTTTAAATGTTCCTGAAAATGAAATTCCTTGCGTTAATTATTGCATGAGAGTTAGTTTTTTTTTTTTAAAAAAAGGAATGCGAATTTAATGTTTTAATTTAAAGAAATTCATTATTAAAAACTACTTCGCTTTTTATTTTTAATAATCACGTTTTCAATAATTCTTCATACAAAATGGGCCTTTTTTCGTCTTTATTGAAGAATTCCAAGAAGTTTTCTGAAACAAATTACACGATAGTTATCTTTTTCCACCAATCGTAATTTTTTTTCCTTTTATAAATTTTTCTCACTATTACGATGGATAGTTAAATATTTAGGATTTATTTTGCATATTACTGAATTTACGTTAGCAATTAAAAACCTTTATATTTCGTAATTATAGAGTACAATTTCCCTATTAGCATTTGTAACTTAATATTTTATTCATTAAATATAAAATTAGAGAAAATAAAAAAAAATATTGCTATATACCAATATTGATTAAAAAAAACATTCACATGTGTTGCAAAGTAAACACATATGTTGCAAACTATTAACTTTACTTACAAAATATCCACATAAACTTCAAAATATTCTCATGGTTTTGCAAAGTGTTAACTATTTGATAAATAGTTTTAGTGCTTAAATTTTTAAGTTGATATAAAGCTATTCAAACTGAGTATAATGTGTAAGATGAGAATAATGTATAAAATGAAGTATTGATGCATTTAATCAACAATATGTTTGTAATTGCGCAGCATTAATTATAAATCAAATTAACTGTTTAATAAAAACAACATATTCCTGTTTTAAAAAATATCATATATAAACCATTTGTTATTCTTTCATTTATAGGTTCTAGTTCTTTGTACGTTGATAGCTCTCTGCAGTTCAACGCCATTATACAACTACGTAAATCCTAACTATCCTTTATTGTATAATACTGGTACAAGTCAACAGTATAATGACCGAGATGTAAGTACAATATTAATTATTTAATTTGTAATTATTTAATTTGTAAGTACAATATTAATATTAATTATTTAGCTAATTTAATTAATTTATTCGCTATATTATTTAATTAAATAATTATTAATTTATTTAATAAATTACGCTTATCTTTCAAGTGGATATTTAAACAATCTTTTTTTGGATGTGTGGCGTAACTAACATTAATAATATTAAATGCCAATTCAGTAGTATATAAGACTTGTTAACTCGATTCTTTTTTGGGGTACCTCTTGATAGATGAAGGTTAACATAGTTGATAATTAAATCCTCACAAACATAGATGGATGATCCACACTGAATAGTTGATTTTCTCATAAAATAGCGCTCAAAAATCCAGTGAAGTAAATACAATTCTCCCGACCAATAAACAAAACTAATGAGCGAAATGATATAAATAAAAAATTTCTAAATAAATAAATAAACAGCATTATTCAACTCGTGGTATTCATTCATCGAATTCTATCTCAGATAAAAATTCAGGAAGGGGAGTAATGTGGCGTAACTAACATTAATAATATTAAATACCAATTCAGTAGTATAGATTTGGGAACTCAATTTTATCTAGGGGTTCTTTTTGATAGATGAAGGTTGACATAGTCGATAATTAAATCCCCACAGATAATCTGCCAAAATGTTTACATGATATCTAAATTAAAATTAAATATTACCCTTACATCTTTTTTTTCAACTTTTAGATTTCTTGAAAAGGCTTCAGTTAGTTCAAAAGTATTACAAAATAGCTTCTACGTTATGAGAAAATGTATGGGTAAAATTACAGGGATATGGAAACAAATTAGCGTGTTTCTGGTTCTATGAGAACACCAAAAGATCATTAGTTGTTATTTTTATTGAAGCGGTGTTGTAACGATTTTGGTAATCTTGGCAATAAAATATGATATTGCAGTATCCGATACAGTTTTGTAAATGAGGTAAAATTTCGTAATTTCATCATGCTAACTTAGTGTCTGTAATGAAATCTATTTATTTAAATAAATTAAACCAGAATGGAAATCCAGAATTTCCGGTAAACAGTAACCATATGAAAGGTAGAACCAAGTGAACGGTTTAAATACTGTATATATAGTATATATACATTTTTTTATAACCAGAATTGCTTTTTTTACCAGGAATGCCATTGCCATACAGTATAGTAATTATACCGGAATTTTTTCTCCGGGTATTAAACAAAGTGGCAGATTTTTTTAAAAATTAACTTGGTCTGAAAAAAGTGACTAAATAATTTTTAAGGTTTTTATGTACTCAATTTTCAAATAGCCGGTTAGTAGGAAATTTTATATAATCCTAGAGTGCAAAAAAAAAGATTGTTTAGCTACTAATTTTTTTATATAAAAACATATTGCATCATACGTTGCATCATATTGCAACATATATTGCATCATACAATTGAATGATTGTTTTTTTAATTAAACTTTTTTTGATTTGAACCGGAATCTAATTACTTTCAGGGTTACTAATTCGATGCCTTCATGCCTAAAATTCTGGTAAAATTACCATACTGTATGGTAAAGACATTCTTGGCAAAAAGAACCATAATTCTGTATTGAAAACCATGTTCTGGTTACCAAAATCAAAATATACGCTAATTAAACATCTCATATGGTAATTTTTCCGTACCTATGATAACGCTTTTTCCGAAAATTCTAGTTTTCGAAGTCATAGTTCTTATTATCGTGCATTTAGTAAAAATACAAAACCGTAGAATAAATTTAAGCAAAAAAAAAAAAAAACAGTTTTCATGCCATACTATGGTATTATGACGAAATTGCCAAATTTTATCACATTTACCAAACTTTATCAAGTATTATGAAACCATATTTCGTTGTTAAAATTGCCAAAATCATTACGAAATTACTTAAGTAAAAATTATTTATCGTTTTGGTTTTCCCATAGATCCAAAGATGCTTTAAATTTTTTCATATTCTGATAGTTTTGTCCATAGTTTTTTTTTTTCAGAATACGTAAGTTGATTAAACTTTAACTTTAAATAGACATGACGTGTGTAAATTTCTTTTCTCAAAAATTGTTTAAAATTTAATATTTTTTACTGTGAAAATTGCTAAATTTTTGGGAAACGTACAATATGTGCAAGAGAGAGAAATAATTCAAAATTTTAATTTACGACTCTTTTACTACTTTCAATTTCTTAGGAACAATTCGTCCGATTTTGTTCAAATTTTGTATTTTGTATTAAAAAATTAAAATTTTTAAAATTATATAAAAATTTGCACTCCTCACATTTAAAAATTTTTTCAACTATTATTAAATAAAAAAGTAAGGGATAATAAATACTTATTAAAAAATTTTTTTTGGTTAGGAATGCATTTGGACTAACGAATTTTGTAATAACATGCAAAAATTTTTCAAATTGCTTTAATTAGTCTTAAGATATGGCAAAATTCACAAAAATGCAAAATTAATAATTAGTGTTAAAAATTTTTCAAATTGCTTTAATTAGTCTTAAGATATGGCAAAATTCACAAAAATGCAAAATTAATAATTAGTGTTCCAAACTTTCGACTGCTGTTTTGACTTAATCATTGGGACTCTACTTCTCAGACTTCTCAAATTTTGAGAGTAAAAAAGTCAAATCCTTCGGTGAAAAATTTATGTTTATTCAGAGGAAGTATATTTTTGTGTGTGATTTCGTAACTTGAAATACCTTCTGCACTAACCAATTAACGTATATTAGGATCCCCCCCCGAACAATTAAGACTGAGCTCCTAAGATTGATTGTAGAGCTAGATAGAGTCCTAGTACGAGAAACAGCGATTTTTAAATTCAAAGTAGAGTATAGTGTTTTTCTCTTTCTACTTTTTGCTTACCTTACAGTAAGGATTTAGAAGCCATTTAAAGGCAACAGATGTATCGTTTTTTACTTACTTATATCTATATACATATATATATTCATCAAAATTGGAAGTGGTAAAATGGAATGCACTTGAAGATAAAAAGCTTATTTTATGAAATCAATGCTTGGCACACAAAAATCAATATATAAAAAAAAACTGTTACTAAAACTAAAAATAATTCGCGGAAAAATTGTATAACAATTATTTTTTATTTAAAAATTTTGTGTGTATTTACTATTTTTGTGTAATTTTGTTTTTGTATGAATCAATTATTTAAAAATTGAAAGTTCATATAAATCATATAAAATAGTAATTAAACCATTAAAATTACTTTATTTTCAAAATTATTGATAAACTTTTCAACATGAATGGAAAAAATTTTCAAACTACTTTTAGGGAGGATTTTATGTTTTAGTAAAAATATAAATCCGATAATCTGACAGATTTTTTTAGAAACTATTATACTGTTTTTTTCTACAAATAAAAAATACAAAATTAATAATTCTGCTTGTAATTGAAGTAGAAAAAAATATAAAGGGACACCGGTGTCTCATCTGCGTCAAAGGGTAAAGAGATCTAGAAGAATTACCGAGGAATAGTGGATATTACATTAAAATTGGGTAAATTTTCAATTACTATTTCAAATTATATCAATCTATTTTTGATAACAATGCAAAGGAATATCGGATAAATAATTTAACGAATCACTAAAATTACTAAAATACACCAATTAATCTCTTAGAATATTGTATTAAAAATTACTGAAATACATCAATTGAAGAAGTTTTACTAATCTGTCATAAATTAACGTTTGTTTAATTTCCATATTTGTGAGAAACGTAAATAAAATAATTAAGTCGTTTTAATTTCAAAACATCCGTTGCTTAAGGATCTTTTTAAGTGAAAAAAGGATCATTTCATTTTATTCATTTAAGTATTTTACTGCACTATGAAGACCAAGTTTTTTATTTGAAGTTAATAAATATTTTTTTAAAACTTAAATTTCGAAAATTTTAAACTTTGCAAAAATTTAAAATATCCAAAGAATTAAAATCTTAAAATTTAAAATTAAGTGAACTATTTTAAGTATAAATTAACACACTTTAATGGCTACAAAGAAACAGAAAGTATTTAAAATTATTCATTTGTTACAGAAAAAATAAGAAAATTCCTGTCTTATAATTTTCCATAAGTTAAAATAGAGGAAATAAAAATCCATTTTCCGACAGAAAAATTTCCCTCAAGGGAGAAATTCTACTTCTTCCAAACTAACTTACGGAGATTTCTTATAGCGTAAGATTCTTCTTAAGAAATTAAAAATATTTCTTAAACATATTTTGTTTCATTTCATTCATTAAAAGTTTTTCTATTAATCTTTGATTCTAAAGTTTAAATTTTATATCAGACGGTATTTTTAAAACTTCTTTAAATGAATAATTACAAAGCTAAATTTTATATTTTAAAGAAATAAAAAGTTAAATTTTGTAACTAAATTTACTAACAATTATGAACAAAACGAACAATATTCTAAAATAAAAGTCAGTTGCTTTATTAATTATTAGCTAAAAATTGTGTTCCTTATGTTCTTTTCAAAATAAAGTGGAAGTAGAATTCCTTTTCTTTTTAAAGGGATGATTTAGTAGGGTAATTATTCAATTTCGAAATATATTAATTTCAAAAATCTTTAATAAATATTTTACCTGTTCGTATTCATTTCGATTTTCTCATGAGAACAATCATAATCAATGTGAGAATAAAAACAAATTTTTTGCGAAATATATATTATGAAAACAACTTTTTATTTCCAGACACACCCTAGAATACAGGAAAACGACCAAATTATTGCTAAAAATACTTCATAAATAAAAAATGAAATTAAAATGGTTTTTGACAAATTTGTAAAAAATATCTACATTCGCTCCCTCTCCCTTTCATACATGCATGCGTATAAAGCATTCTGCTTTATTTATATTGTTTATGTAATAATTATTATTATGTAAATTACATTAGTTTATAATAATATTAGTTTGTGTAAAAAAGTTATCTTTTTTAAACCATTGTACAGACATAGTAATATTTTATTAAAACACTAAAATATCTATTGGTCTTACAATTCATAATTGTTGTTTGTCATAAATTTCACGTAGGATAATTTCAAATTGCTTAATCTAATAAAAGTTTCCAAATTTTACATAATGTGTGAAACAATGCAGTTAATAATTTTAACAATCATCACACTTTTGATGTCACCGTAAGAAATGAATAGCGTTTCTTTTTTCCTGCGAAGAATTATTTTAAATTAAATGCATACTACAATGTATTCCATGAGTAGCTTTTTTAAATAAATATATATTACTTTATTTTCAAAATTATTGATAAATTTTTCAACATGAATGGAAAAAATTTTCAAACTACTTTTAGGGAGGATTTTATGTTTTAGTAAAAATATAAATCCGATAATCTGACAGATTTTTTTAGAAACTATTATACTGTTTTTTTCTACAAATAAAAAATACAAAAATATATTTCTGATTGCAATTGAAGCAGAAAAAAATATAAAGGGACACCGGTGTCTCATCTGCGTCAAANGCAAATATATATATATGTATATATATATAAATACAAGAAAACACGAAGAAAGTTAAGAAAAACAATAAGTTTCATTTATTGCGCTTAAGCTGCACCTCTTAAACTACCCCACAGAAGAGGATTTGTATTCTTTTAATGCCATAGAAATAACAAAAACTATTCAAGCACACCATGAAATATGATTCAATAGAGGATACGACACCAACCAACCAACCAAGCTGCAAGTAAACAGAACTCATTAGATAAGTTCAAAATGAAGAATAAAACAAAAAAAAAATTTAGACAAATGGAAAAAAAAGGAGGGGGGGGGGAATAATAAGTAAAAAAATAACAAACAGTTTAAAAAAAAAAGGATGATTTTTTTAAAAAAACCGGAAATTTTATATATATATATATATAGATGTATATATAATCTGAAATATAGTATGGAATCTGTTTGCACACGTCACCAGATAACGATTATACATATAACTCCGTCAAATACGACAATATCGCAATTATTATTTATTACAATACCTATAGTTAGAATATGAAAATATCAAAAAAATAATATCGTAAATATTATAAATAACGATAACTGTTGAGCACAATTTTATTATGAGTGTTGATACAATTTATTTGGGTTACGATAATCTTGGCTAAAGTAAAAATAAGATCAACCAGTTAAATTGGATAAATTTCATATCGTGATATATTGTTAAATATCAATACTTTTTGACAATAAATTATGATATTAAAAGTTAGCAAAAAAACATTTTAAAGAACCGAAGCTCTTGTTGGTGACAACTCGAAAAAGTAGTCACCAAGAGACGGTTCTAATAAGCGATAATGAATCTGAAAGCACGTTAAAGAGCTGAACTATCAGGTTCAACCGGTATTGAAACAAAATTAACTGTATTATGGTTCAAAGTACCGGTTCAACGTCGATTTCTGTTTTAATCCTGTACTACAGCAATTTCAATCACATATTTTAGGGAGCTGGTGGCTATCAATTTGGATACGATGAAGAACATACTTCTGGCGGATCATTCAGAAAAGAGACTGGTGACGTCTATGGCAACAAATATGGCTCTTACGGTCTACGGGATGCTGATGGTCGATATCGAGTCGTAAACTACGTCGCTGATTCAGCTGGATTTCGAGCTGATATAAAAAGTAATGAACCAGGTGTTGCACCGAAAGATCCTGCTTCAACTACTATCAATAAACCAGCTGTGTACGCTTCTACAGTTTATCACAATCCCATCGCTCCAGTGGCACAATATCCAGTAGTGTTCCAAAGTCCTTACGTTGCTCCCGTCAGTTCTTATTACAAAGGCAGTCCTTACTACAAAGGCACTCCATTCACAAGATTCACTCCTTCATACATTCCTGCATCACCCAAAGGATCTCCCTACAGACGTCCCGGTTATTTCATTTATCCCTAAACTGAGCTCTTGAATCTTGCTGTCAAACTACTGGAACTCCCAACGATTTTTATTAGTTGCCAAATTTTTGTGGTTATGTGGTTATTTTTAATAATAAAACAATTTGCAAAACTGTAGTTTGATCATTTTTATTTCACGTTTTTCTAGTTGCCAAAGTTATAGACTGAGAATATCACGTACAAATTACTTATTTTTCAGAAATAGTTACGTTTTTTTAAAAAAATTAAACTTAGGAAATTAGTAATTACTCTGCATTGTAAGAATTTTCTATGCTCGTTTTTATTTTTGGTACAACAGTCTTTATTTCCACAATGGTATGAGTCCTGTGTGTGCCTTTTACTTACTTAGAATTCTATCGCAAGCCGCCCTATCTTTAGCCTTGGTTTTCCATCCGGGTACTTTGAGGATGCGCAAAGTCTTTTTTCAGACATTTTATCCTTCTGAGTCTTGGACAACCTCTGTTTCGAGTGCCTGTTGGTATGGCTTAGAAAGACAGGCTGAATATGCAAAATGTTTAATTACTTCAAATTTATCTCCATTTCCAAGAAAAAGTTGACTAAATTTTAATTTAGTGCATGCCATACATTTGATTTTGGTTGGTTGAAGCGTAACTACATTTTGGTTACCTAATATTTCAAATAAATGAATGCTTGCTTAATAACTGTTGGTCTTCTCGTTATAATGTCAATGTCATCTGCAAAGTGATTTTTTTTTTAAAGATTTTGTGAATACATTTCCTCTTATCCTCACTTCGGAATTTCTGATTATTTTTTCTAGAACTAAATTAAACAGAAATCATGCAATTGCATCACCTTGTCTCAAGCCATTCACTACAGTGATAGACACTGATAAGTTATTCTGGATTTTCTCTCCAAGTTTTGTCTCAGATAAGTTATTGAAAATAAATTTGACTAGTTTTTCAGAAATTTTAATTTTCTTCATGGAATCAATAATTAGTTATTGATTCACTGAATCATATGCTGTTTAGAAACTGGATAATTAGTGGTTATGGATGTAGGATATCAATTCTAAATTCTCGTACTTTCTTGGGGATCATAATCTGTAGCTAGTATTATTCAATCCCTCTTGAAATCTACTAAGATTACATTTCATTGACTGTGGTAAAGGCTGAAACAACAACATTCTTCAAATAAAAAAAAATAAATGTTAAAAGCAAAAGAAATGAAACTGTAGGAATTAAAATTTTTTAAATGGGCAGTTTAATAAATCTCAAATGAAACTGCTAAATAAACTTTAAAGGAATAGTAAATTGCAGTAACGAATAATTTCTGATTAATACTATGCATATTAGAACAACAACAATTTTTTTTCCTTTCATTTAAATCCTCACAAAAATAAAACATGCATTAGAGCCATATTTTTTATCAGGAAATTAAGTCACCAAATCAATTTAGAAGGAAATTTTCGGGAAAGAAAAAACAAATTTATAAAAAAGATGACTCGCAAAATAGTGAAAATTTTATTACTTTCATATACCCGAAAAAGCGAAGAAAAGCAAAGAAAGTTTTAATTGGGGTTTTAGTTATCCAAAATTTGTGAAGTTTGTCAAATAAATTTTAAGAAATTTCAAATTTATTTGTATGAGTCGGAAAACTATAAATATTGGAAATAATTATAGCATTCCCCCCCCCCTCCCCAAAATCATGATTTTTTCATTTTACATTACATAGAGGAGAGGGCGGCATCTTTGAACGTCTTAAATATTATGCTTCAAGTTAATAACTTTGTTTAAGTAAAGAGAAAATACTTAATTGCTCATCTGAAACAACAAGTTAAATCGTTTTCTCAATTTGAGCAAGGTAAGCAGGTTTCTAAACTCTGCATTCTAAAATTATAAAAGTAAGATTATAAGCGTAATACTAAAACCAATTTATCGTTTTAGCTTTAATTCCTTGAAGACTATTTAAATTTAAGCTATATTTTTTAATTATTATACTCATTCCGTTAAAATGCTTACACAAAATGGTATTGTTTTTATAAAACTTCACTAGGCACATTTGAGCAAAATAGCTGAGACACTTTTAAAAATCCAGAAATACAAATTAAATACAACAGAATATGTGTCTAAATGTAAATAATCTTCAGTTTTTAAATTAAACTTCATATTGGTAATGAAAGTAATAAATGCAGTTGCTTTAACTAATATTTTTTTAAAAATACTTTATATATTTATTGTTTATTCTGAAAATTAAAGAACTATTTTTTATGCAGGATAGTATAGATATAATGAACAGATATATTGAATAAGAAGTAGAAACTATAGCATCAACTTCATTTAAAACATAATTTTTGATCCAATTTATTAAAATGTTTTTATAGCAGTTTAAAAGACAGTGTGGTTTTAACTAATGTAAAAAAGGAGGTAGACACTCGAAGTAATGGAACAAAATATGAGAAGTACAGAATAAAAGCTTTAAAATACAATTACGACGCAAGGCAATCAGATGGAGTTAGATTTACAACATTTTTATATCGGTTAAAATATTAATACCGACTATCAAAATAAATTGATTATTATTTTAATGTACAACTTTTGCCAAATTTTCAGCGCATAGCAAGACAATTTCATTGAATGATTTATTTTGAATTCCTCTAAATCTGACATATGCACTAGTTAGGCAATTGAAATATGATTAGGGAACCAGAATGGAAAGCTTTGTGCCGAAGAATAATTATAATAGCAAATAAAGCTATGCAATTGCATTGAAAAGAATGACAAATTTCTGAAACGGTAGCATAAATGCAAAAGAAGGAAAATACAAGCTCATCACAATACAAAAAACGGATCAATTATTTAACAAATTTTATTAGCAAGAAGCAAAATGATGACACGATGAATGAATATTTTCCATGTTATGGTTTAAATTACTATTAATGATTTTATGTTAGGTTCATTTGGTACCAAAAAAAGTATTTTTTTTGTCAAAAAGTGAAATTTGAATTTAGTCTAAGAATAGGATCTAAGGATTTAATCTAAATTCTGAGTAAACTAACTTCTTCAATTGTTGCGTTAAACAATTTTAAAAATTTTAAAGATGCAAAATTTTTGTGATTTAACTGTTTATTTTTTCCTTCAGACATACTAAATATTTCTTCGAGTATAAATGTAAAGAAAAACTATCATTTAGAAACTATTTTTTATTAGTTTAATAGGACCCAAGCATTGTTTAAGGGTATCTACCTATAAACAAAAATGTCTATGATATTAAAAGATTTATAATGTTTTTTATTTATTCAAAAAATTATCAATATTTATTTTACAAGTTAAAGAAATCAATACATATCTATAAAAAACTGTTAAATTTGAAAACTGTGGAATTTTTAAAATATTGTTCTAAAATAAAATATTGTCCCCTTTTCACTTACTAATAACAAATATCTTGAATCACGCTGGAAAATCACAAAAAAAAATCCGTCCAAAAAACTTTTTTGTAATAGAAATTCGTAACTCTTTTTTCCCACTATAAATTGTAGAAACTGAATCAACAAACAAAATCTAAAAATTATGTTAGTTCTTAACACTTCCGTTTATGTTTGCAAAACAGAATTTCGGAATTCAAAATAATTTTTTAATTACTAATTAAATACTATTTATTTTTTGATAGGAAGTTATTAAATAAGCAACATTTCCTGTTGAGTGCTTAGTGCATGATTCCATTGATAAAGTATAAATGAAGAAAAGCGTTTAAATGATCTCCTGAATAAAAGGCTGTGCACTAAAAAACAACAATCACTGAAAGTTTACTTCAGAAGGCTTAATGCATATGATAATCTATAAAACGTTTTGTAATTTTTCTCTTTGTCCAAAATAAAAGTTCCCCATAAATAAACATAAGAATTTTAGGAGTGTTTAGAATCATATCTAAAAGAGAAATGATAAGTAGGGTAAACACATGTTTTTGATTAAAATAAGTAAGACAGTTGGTAAATCTTTAGCAATTGTCAAGACAATTGATGCGAAAATACAATAAGAATGGAATCTATTATATATGATTTTTATGTTTAGTGACATCGAAAAAATTGATTTAATGATGTTTAGTTATTAGGCCATCAAATAGCAATCATCCAGTGGATGTCTTTAATAATTGATGAAATTAGATTTAGGCTGAAAAATCATAAATTTTGAGTAACAGAATTAAAGGTCGAACAAGCAATTACGTTTAGCAACACCAGACACAAATGTACCATGCGCAATAAAATCAAAGAAACACAACACTCTGAATAAATTTTAATTTCATTGTAGGATTTTCAAGCAGCAAAATGAAATTGTCATTACTTAGAAAATGTGCTGAGCTCGGCTATGCTAGCAATTTCTACATGTCAATTTTAAAACACTAGTTATAAAACATTATATTACTATTTTACTGCTAATATTATATCACTATATTTAAAAAACCAGTTATTAAGCAGTATATCACTAAAAAAAAGTTGTTTTTCTTTAAATGAACATTTGATTTCTTATTTTTGAAACATATGTGGTAATTGCAATCTGAAAAATGTCCTTTTACAATCAAAACAGCGATCAAAAACTTCCATACCTCATTTAAATCTTTATTATATTTTTAGAAGTAATCGAAAATGTATGAAAATAAATATCGGAGTCATTTAAAAAATTCTCATACCCAAAAATAAATATAATAAAATAAATGAATAAAGGCAATAAATAGGTTTAAACAAAAATTATTATTATTATATTTTTTTTGTAAAATTTGAAAAAAAATAATTGTCAAATATTAAAAACAATTTTACCTTTTTCAAGAAAAATATTGTTATTTATATTGCTATTTAAAAAAGATTATATTGTTATTTAAAAAAGATAGTTATATTGTTATTTAAAAAAGATAGTCTTCTTAAATTTTTATTAAAATCCGGGTAATATAATATTAAGTAAAATTATGATTGTAAATTCATGTAGTTTAAATATTTGATGAAAAAATTAAAATAACAAATTCAAAAAACTTAAAAAAATGTTAAATCAGATATTTAAAAAAAAAAGATGGGAGAATTTTTAATTAATTTTTCATACAACTTTTAATGCTCATGCATTTAAAATGTATGTATCTGAAAATATTGTAGCCAGGAATCTAAATTTATT